TGAGTCATATGACCCACAGTGTCAAAGGCACAAGACATCCAATAACACCAAAATTACAACACGAGACATGCATCTTCAGTGGCAGATCCAATAATTTGTAATATGGGGTGGGGCATGAAGGGGTTTCCACAAATAGAGGGTCCAACAACCCTTTCAGCATGGTTGGGGCTGAGGTAAGAAAACATATGATTATGGCACCTCTAGATACCCGGAAATGGCATTCTCGGACTTCAATTTCATTTTTTTTTTTTTTTTAATATATTTTTTTAATATAGGGGGCCCCACCATCCATCCCTTGAATCCGCCACTGGACATGAACACAATTTTTTGTTGTTGTTTTAAGTACAGTATTTAGATCCCAGAAACAAATCAAATGGTTGACTATAAGTTTAAAAACACAAAGTGTCGAACTATTTTTGTAAAAAACATTGATGTATCACTTTCATTAATTTGCTGGTCTCAGTTTATTAGATCCTCTGGTGAGAGTAACAAATGAAAGTTAGATGAAGCAAGATATTGCTTAGATTAGAGAACATTTAACAGAGACGCACTGTCTATGTAAATAGCGTGATGATGACGATGAGGTGACATAGCAGGTAGCAGGGCAAGAAACAAAAGCTATCTAGGGGCCGACATACTACTTCAGTGAAGTTTGTGTATTTGTATTGATTTCGTATAATAACTAACGATAACACGTTCAGAAAAAAATAATCTGAAAGTGAAATTTGTATGCAGAGTTGTTGTCAGAATAACATTACGTATCTGAACAGCCTTATACTACGTACGAATCTGCTTAAGGTCACGCAAGACGGCTTCAAGAAAAGAAAAACAGTTGAAAAAACAATTTTCAAAAAGCCAACAACAAACATCTAATTTTCAAATTTTACATATATTAGGTACGAAACTACAAATTAACATTACGTTAAAATAATATTAAAAGTCGGAAGAGAAGAAAAAAGATTAAAATGAGCAAGATATGTCAGTTTGTTACAATCATCCCTCAGCAACAATGCATGCTTCAGTCTCTACTACAATTACATAGATGTCTACAAGCTGGATCAATCCCGAAAATATTTTTCAAAGACAAGATGTAATTCCTTATTCTCATCATGAGGCTTAGCTTGGTTATCAACTTACCGCTAAAAATGGTTTGGAATGGGTTCACGTTCATTGAATCCTGTAATAAAATAAAAAAAATAAAAATAAAAAACAAGTGCGGAGAACCAGGTGGTGTGGATTAGAAAAGAACATCGTTATTATTATTTCATCGATCGGAAATATGCACAGTCGTATCACTTCTAGGCCTACAGATTATTACACTGAACAAAACGTAGTTCAATGCAATCGTCAACTGTTTATATCTTTCAATGAACAAGATATAGGAATATACACATGCCAAACCAATGAAAATGATTACATTTTGTTTTCTTCTTCTGGTGTTCAAATGAATTAACCATCACTTTACAAGGATGCCAGTGGTCGATGCAGTGAAAAGACTTCCAACTGGACTTTAAATGGAGAAAACTTGACGAATAAAAATGCTACCCATGACAATATTAAATGCTTCAAATTACCAGTTGATAATTAGAAAATCAAGTGTCTGGTAATGCTCAAAGAACCTCGGATTACATAAAATTTACTGTCAAAGACGTCATGCTAACAAGTACAGGTATTTACAGTCTACACCTCAACTTCACAGCTTTCTACACCTCAGGACAACCAAGTACACACATTAAAGTTGATTACTAATTCTGTAAAGATCTCAGATTTTATAGAATTTACTGTCAACGATGTCATGCTAACAGATCTTCTTCATTCAAACATTACAAAAACATCCAAAAGCTAACAAACTGAAACAGAAAATACAGATCTACAATTCCATTAACGAGGAACTTCTACAAATCAAACCGAAGAAAGCACTTAGCACATTACAAAAAGATAACCTATCGTTAAATACCACCCTGGTTTATAGCCGTAAACATGAAAGAGAACACATCTATATCATTACCAATGACGCATACGACTACAGATTCAGTGTTGCTGATAGTGATGAAAGTGACAGTATACTAAGTGAAATTAAACTGACTGATTCCATAATCAGCACAACATGAATGTAGCTTTAAAGTTACCGATGGTGACGACTACCGCAAAAGTAACATTGTAAAGAGTGACAATGTACAGGCAGATCACATGATCAATGATACATATGGCCACAGCTTCAATGTCACTGATTTTGACAACTGAAAAATTATCTTTACAGCACGTTTAATTAAATAACATTATGACTGCTTGTTGAAACTGCAGCACAACCCTAAGGCATTTTTATCAAGCTGAGCAATATTTGTTGTGCCTGCAATTTATAGTGTTTGTCATATGAAGGAGACACTTAAAAAAATTATGAGAAACATTAGCAACATCAATAAAAAAAAAATATCCTGAACCATCATTAATTTTGTAGAATTGTACGGGGTAGCAGTCTTAATATACAGAAAAGGCAATGCTTTTTAAATAATTTCTAAGAGTAAGTAAAATATCTAATGGAAATATACAGTAGATGTTCAATTGTAAATCGATAGATAGTAAACAGGTGTTAATGGACGTTTTACAGTTATGTTTTTATATTTCAAAAAATATCTATAAACTATTTTCCCTTTAAATTGTTGCTAGGATTCCAGGCAGATATCTGATTTCGGCATTATGTTCTCTATTACTTTCGATATTTCAAAAAGTTGTGTCGAATCTTTCTTTTGCTTTTTTCTCAGAGTAAATATTGTACAACCAAAAATGTTATCCTGGCGATTCCTTAAAGGATTACATCCCTATTTGTGTCCCCCTAAGCTTTTAAACACATTTCTGCTGTACAACATTATGCTTTTTTAAATACGTTTAGTTCCAAGTTCCAATGTTAATAATATACCATAAAGGATAAGTCAGGTCTATGCATGACTTACATTTCACTTGTAGTGTCGTTCCTGATATTAATATTAGAAACAAGTATTTAGTTCGTACCTGTTAGTAGTATTGCAATAAAATTCAGGGGCGGATTCATGAATGACAACGTGTAAGGGATCCATCGTGAAATATACAGCATTTTAGATTAATGCATTTTCGCAGTCAAAATTTGGGTAATGACAACTGTGCTCGTTATTCTGGATCCACCACTGATTATTTGTAATTATACTACAAGGGAATTATTATAATATGCAAATAAAACAATTGTCAGTGGCGTAATAAAATATTTTTCATTGGGGGGGGGGGTTGATCATTGGGGGGGGGGGATGATTGGCGTGTTAGGCAGTGTCGTAACCGACGCGGGGAGGGGAGAGAAACTGCCCCTCCCCTGACGGTTTTTACCGGGCTGACCAAGCCGTCGTACCGGGCTGGGTAATAAGAGAAAAGAAAGAGGGGAGAGGGAGGGAGAGAGAAAGAAGAGGAAAAGAAAAAAAAAATAAAGACAAGAATAAAAAGGAAGATATCATAATGACCAGACTCCACAACACCCTGCAACCCCTTCTCCACTTCAAAAACTGTCATAACTCCTTTGATCTATGCTGCCCGATGGCGTAACCACTGGGGACAAGGGGAAAATATCTATCTTTGAAAAATCTTCCCCACCCCTTACTTTATAAATGCCCTTTCATCCCCTGAAAGTGCC